GTGATGAAAAGAAAAAATACCGTCAAATACCGTGAAACTGGTGACAATCTTGAAAATACCATGATATGAAATTTTGATCATATCGCCCAGCTCTAACTGAAAGGCTGTCATCTCTCGAAACCCCCAGTCTCCTGATTTCAACAAAACTACAACCATCAAAATGTTTTCTAATTCGTCAAAGTAGAAAACAGCAAAGAGCCATCATACCATAGTTCCCCAGGTTCATGGAAGTCATCTGATTGGTGAGCTGCTGTGTTGAAGGGGGGCCAGAGGAAGCCATGTTGTTGTATCCAGAGTGTGGAGGCTGACTATATGGAGCAGATGCAGCAGGTGATGGAGGATACCTGTGTRACATAGAGTGGTTTTATATTGACAMYAAGTACATTAAAAGTGAAATAACCATTTACTACAATRAACTTRTGTTTTGCAGYAAAGTGCTTCACTCTYCTTGGTGAATGATAGATACAGACGTTTCTTTACAAAGTGAGTTTTCCTCATTGTTTTCAGGACAATGTGTTCACATCTTTGAGTTGATATATAGTTAGAGATTACCTTTGAGGGTGAGCCCCGTTCTGCTGGACGTTAGAACTGTACGAAGCGGGCAYGGGAGGGAGTGGCGTTCCAGCAGCAGAGGAAACAGTTGATTTCATACCTGCAGTAAAACCGTGCATTTGTTTGTATAAAATATAGCAATRAGTAAATAAGTATTTAAATAAAACCAACTCTTGGAAAGCTTGTGTGCTTCTAGTTCTGTTAAGAAAAAAAACTGATACCAAATTTCTGAATTCAAGCATCTTAGATACAGAATCCCATGTAAGGGTGGAGATGCAATAGAATGTTTGTTGCACCTGCTGGTGGAGAATTGAATGACTGAGGTGGTCCTCCATAGTGTCCATAGAAGCCCTGGGCAGGAGGGGCTCCAAATCCACCTTGATAGCCCCCCATCCCCGGCTGGGCCTGGGAGTACGGAGGGGCAGCTACATAACCCTGTTGGCTCATCTTTGAAGGGACCGGTGTCACTGTCTCCTCATACCAAGCTGGAAGATCCCCGACAACCTAAAAGAGAAGATGGACAGTTCTGTGCAAAAGTTTGAAACGGAGAAAGTTTCCAACGAGACAGAATTTCTTATAATGTTTGTGGTCAAACGTTACAAAAAACATCTCAGGAACCACTGGGCTGATTTGACCGAAACTCTMAGAAAAGGTTAACATTTGGAGTCCACAGATCTTTAAACACAAAAACAGCTATGAGGATCATCTTTATAAATATTTCGATAACATTTGGTGTGGTAGCTTACACAAATTATGAGTGCTAACAAATCCTCTGGTGCTGAAATGCTACTTTTGTGTGAAATAATTTGCACTGGAGGCTTTTTTTTTTACTTAGGCTACTTTTTCACTCATCAGTGTGCATTGCCAATGCAATGCACACTATTGTGATTCGTTTCCCATCCAAGTCATGCCAATTTTGGCATGCTTCTCCTCCTGCATACTTTGTCCTAGAGCTGCCA